TTAGGAGAAAGCACTGACAATGAGTTATAGTAATGTGAATATTAATTATCTCTGGCCTTATCACAATTTTAGAAAGTTTGACTGTCTGAATCTCCCCATCATGAAAGACCAGTTTTTATTTCCCCCTGCTGACTAGTCACCCTTACTTTGCAACTTTAGCAGAAATGGACTGATTTGCTGTTGGTATCCTGAATGAGATGATGTATTTTATTCTGGGTTACCTTCCCCTAGAGCCCCACAGCACCTTACATTATCTCAGACAGAATGGTGACGAACTTGAAACAGAGATAGAGGGCTATCTGGTGATGCCATATCATGTATTCTCTTTCATCTCAGCTGTTCTCTTCTGGCACCTTAAATCAGAATATTTTGCTGATGGTGCTGTTAACCAGAAGATGCTCATCACGCACAAATCCTCTGGAACATGCACTGTCATCATCTGCTTCTTTTACCCACTGTAACTCCGTAGCACAAATTTCAGCATCAGAAAGAGATCACTACTGGAATGTCAGTCACCTGTTAACCCGCAGGGGTTTCTGCTGGCTGGCAAGCTCTGGATAGGTTGGGCAACTTCCAATTAAGTCCTGCGCTCCGATCAGAGGTGTTCATCATTTTTACATGTACTGTAGTATGGAGGTGCAGTAGTTAGCAACCCCACAGAGTTGGGGCTCTGGGTTCAATTCCTGGGACGTTATTTGCATGTTTATATGTTTTTCCCATGTTCAAGTGGGTTTCCTCCAGGTGCTCTGGTTTCCTCCCACAGTCCAAAGACATACTGGTAGGTTAATTGGCTTCTGGGAAGCTTATCTGTGGTGTAAATGTGTGTGTCTGTGTGTCCATGTGGCCCTCTGATGGACTGGTATATCCTGCCTGGCACCTGTAGTTTGCAGTTAGGCACCAACTCCCCTGCAACCTTGTCTTGGGTGAAGCGGTTAGAAAATGAATGGATGTTGCAGTTGTTTATTGGCGTTTGTGTTGATTTTGAACATGTCAAACATATGGAGATTTCTTTGGAAGTGAATGGCGCATGCTTTTTTCTTAGAACTAAAAGCATACAGACGTCATCCATCTGGGTGTGAAGCTGTACTGAACCAGAACTGTAGACTGTGTCGTGCTGTACCTGAACAGCTGCCTGTGGGGTGTTGTCATTCTGGACGTCACGAACCCTTGGCGCAGCTCTGCACTTCCCTCGCGTGCTTGAGCCCTTCTTTGTTATCAAATGAGTCAGCCTGTGAAGCTTCCAGACTTTTTAACAAGGAGGTGGCTTGAAACGCCTTGCAGTAAAACCCAAAGCCCTGCAGAGAATAGTGTGTCGAGGTCAGAAAAGCAGTTAGCGTGAAATGAGAGGGCCGTGCGGAGTTCACAGGGGAAGAGATCCCAGATAGCCAACTCGCTTTGTGGAATTGCTTTTCCCCATCAGTCTTGTAACGACATTTTATAATCACCGTCAGTCAGGACTCCAGACAGGCCAAAGGTTAACCACTCTTCCTTTTGTTTTTGACTGTAGGAGTTATAATTTAGAATCAATTGCCCTATTTTGCTTGGCGGTTTGCCTTTGGTCGTACTAAAGGAAGGTTCACGGTCATGTCAGAAGCCATTGTCTTTATTTTTCTGCGTCCTCTCTTTGTACTGGGATGTGGGGGCCGTGCGGATTCCAGAAGCTCAGTGTGCCTCAATTGGGGTCAGTTAGTAAGCCTTGTAAAGCATTTTAGTGAGAAGCACTGTCCTCCACGTCCTGCATTTGCTCTTCACCTGAAACCTAACTAGCTACACCTCCTCTCTCTCTCTCTGTGTGTTATTCTTTGTCTCCTTCTTGGCCTTGTGTCCTATTGCTTTTGACTTAATCACCACACTGCCCGCCTTTTCTCTCTCTCCTGCTGTTTTTCTTGCTCTGTTCCCATCTTGTCTTCCTTTCCCATAATTTGTCTTACCTGGCAGCCCTCTCTTCCCAACGACGGCTTCTATTTTTCTGCTCCCACTCGCCGCTCCCCCCCTCCCCCATCTGTCTCTTCCCCTCTCGGTGTCGTCGTGAGAGCGCTGTAATTAAGACCTCACTGTCTGGCCCCCTCTCTCGCGCAGGATGACTGGCAGCTCTGCTCCGATTCCCCTGGTCTGCGCCAGGCCTGTTTCAAGCAGGGCAGCAGTAAATTGGAAACTGAGCTCTGCTAATAAAATGTCACAGATTCTGGGTTCTTTAAAGGGTATTTCTGTTATTTCATTTTTTTCCCCTGATAAATGAGAAGAAGGCCTGTCATGTCAGGCAACTCAGTCTTGCACACAAACTACTAAATGTAAACTGCTCTTGATAAATCATAAAACCAATTGCAAAAAATGAACAGTCCACATACTGCCTTTCTCAGCGTTTAGATGCAATGTTTCTGTGTTTCAATGTTTCAGTGTTTCAGTGTTTCTCCTTCTCTGCTTTGAGTAGGAGTAACACAATAACGTCAATTGCTACGTTCACTAAAATCTGAATGTGGATTTATTAGTGTAGAGAGGGGGGATGATTGAATTTAAGTTTGGACACTTGCAGGTATTAATCGATTTAGTGTTTTATTGCTGCGGGATCAACAATTGATTTTGATTTCACATTTATTGGTAGTATTTCACCCTGTATGGCCGTGAGTGATTGTGTGCAGTATTGTCGAGACGGTGAGCACAGCATTTAACATTGGGTTTGTACGGACTTGAACCCTAATCTGTTTTCACTTGAATTAGGCCCAGGTGGAAAAATCTGCAAATATGCTTTTTTTTATCCCCGAGTTCTGATGGTTTGAATTGCGGAATTGAAAAAGATGCATGGTACACTGTGAGGAAGAAATCGGGCAAAGTCAAAATGCCCCTCATCACAGGTAACTTCTGCACCTCTGGCATCTGGCTGCGTTATGGCTCGAGTCGTTGAGATTTTGTTTGGAATCGTACCTTATGTGATTTTTTTCAGAATTAAGTCGGTGATTATCAATCGCTCATCTACATTTACAAGAGTGCTCTGTGTCTCGTGATGAAATGATTCTATGCTGTTTAATAAGTTAACACCAAAAAAATGTAAAGAAAACAAAATGGTGGAAGTTCTGTGAAGGCATGTTTGGCCGGTAGTATTTGTCAAACACAACATTTTCAAAGAGGGCTAGACATGTGCCGTATCTGTTTCAAAAAGTGGATTTGGTAGACGAGGAAGACTATCGGATGTAACTGTGGATTTTGCTGTATGAAGGAGCTGACGGTGACAGAGGAGAAGACAGGGGGAGGCGGGGAGGCAGTTGTAGTTGACTTTGGTAAGGAGCCAGAACTGGGGCTCCAGGTTTGTTTTAGCACAGTGTCAATATTAGGATTGCTACTGCATGTTGGAGTGGAGCTCACGGAAAGAGACACTGACACTGACCAGAGCCAGTGAGTGTGGGAGTGTGCGAAATCTGTCGGCACTTGGGACAGTGCCAGGGAGTCTGGCTGTGTAACCTTTCTGGTCACGGGGCGGGGCCTGCTCTTTTAACTCGGCTTTTAAAGTCCAAGTCAGAGCCGTACATGTGAAAGGGCTTCCCCGTGTTACGGTAATCTCATTCCAAAGCCCGATTGACAGAAGATTCTTGTTTTCTAAAAGTCTTAATATAAGCCAATGCTTTCTGCTTTGACTCACCTGGTGTGTTCCTCAGCTTTTTAGGCTCTCAACTCTTTTGCCGTCTGTCGTGTCCCCCGGCCCCAGTCTTTCAGCTCGGCATGCATTTTCTTCTCCTGGTTTTCAATCTGCTGAGCTCAGAAGACGGTGGCAATGAGGGAGCCAAACCCAACCTATGTAACAGCCTGTGCAACTCTCCGCTTTGTCCAATATGCAATATGGTGTGAAGAACAAAAAGCAAAAGGCTCTTATGCACCAAGAGCAGGTGCTGAGCACTATTTTTCCCTGCACGAATAAACGCTTTTCTTCCCTTCTTGTAAGCCTCTGGCGGCCCATCACCATTTACCTCTCTCTCGCCTCTGAACAGGCTGGAAGGGCACTATGCGTGGTTGTCACCCTCCTGGTCCTGCAGTTTGTGTGTGCCGGCGCGCAGCTGTAGCTGTGTGTTCAATTGTGTTTGAAAGCCAGTGTGTGTGGGAGGTCGTTAACTCCTCTTTGTTCGGAAGCTGGTGCTGAAGACCTTTGCGAGACTGGGGAAACTGTGCTCTCATTCTCGCTGTGAGTGAAAGGTACTAATGCACTTCCTGCAAACACTTAATAATGGCCGTGCAGTATTAGTGCTGAGCCGCTCAACTGTAGCTGGGGGAAAAAAAAGGTTTCTTTGGAACAAAGCCTTTCAAAAGTCTTTGTTCGTCCTCTTGTAACACTTTGTTAATGTCACATCTTAAATTATTTATCCATATTAATTGAAATGTAGTCTGAAATGGACATTAAGCATTACTCAGAACTGCCTGCAGGGACTTTATGCACAGCTTCATAACGCCACTCAATGAGTGAGATCTTGGAAGATGGATTGTGCTTTTTGTCAGACTCATTCAGTGCTACATGCTTTTAAATAAGAGCTTTCTGCTTTGGATTATAACCAAAAAGTAAAAGTTTGAAGCATGTATGTGTTGTATGTAATTTATGCTTTGTGCTTGCATAGTCCATTAAGCTGTGTATGTGATCTAATTGTATCTACGCCCATGTGATCATACCTCCTTGTGTTGAAAGTTGCCTTGGTGGTCGTCTTATAAAGAGACAGCTCCTCTCCTGAGTTATTCTGCCTTGGTGCACTTGTATTGTAATCATAAAAGGCATCTGAACCCCTGTTATGAAGGCCTGTATCATCCTGTGGCTTGTTTTCAACATGTGCTTGCTCAACCTTAGCTAGATCTACTTAACTTCTCCCAGAAAGTACAGAGCTGAGAGCTTCCAGGATTGCAGGCAAAGAGAGAGCTCCTGGTCTTTTCAGTATGGGAAGCAAATATTGACTCTGGTGTTGCAATGCAGAGAGCCAGCCTCAGTCCCAGAAGCTAAATCTCTATCTTCTGTGTCCCTTTTGCAGGATCCCTGAGAAACGGGAGCTCAGATCACGTTTCCACTGGCAGTCAGGTTGGTGATCAGAGTTTTATTGCTTTTGTTAGAGAACTGGTGCTGGAAATATTTTAGTTTCTTAGCTAAATAAACACAACAATTCCTCTCACCTCAGTACCAGGTTCAGGATTTTTCTGGCATTTGTACTGCAATGTTTTGGAAACGGAAAATAAAGAACAATGGAAATTCTTAATCTTGTTAAACTAAAACAAAAAAGTCAGGTCCTTAAAAAGACGTTTGTCTCAGAAGTGTTGTAAGAGCACTAGAAGTGCCCATTGGAGCCCAGTTAAGTAAATGAGCCCGATACCTGCGTTCTGCCTCATATAATATTGGGGAATGTGCTCTTGCTTTGCAGATAATCTCTGGACAAATAATGGCATGAGCACTTCACCCCGTTTTGCAAGATCTGCTGGAGTTTGTGCAGAGATGTATTTTGCTGATCATTTCTGTTATGGTTTTTACTCATTTGTTTAACCTTTAATCAAATTTTGCCAAGTCAAACAATGTAGAATTTCAGTCTCTCTCTTTAGGTGATCTTTTTATTAAGGTTTACTCCATGCTGTAAAGAGAAGAAAAGAAACACGTTTCGGCTATGGAGCCTTCTTCAAGTTTCTGTTTTCAGCATGGAATAAACCTTTGCTTGTTCCTTTGCAGCCTACGCATGCTGACGTACTGTAGCTACCTATTTGGTCTTTTTATTAGTCAGGTACATATTAGGTGCTTAATTTATCCTCCTTGAACTGTTTTTAAACAGCAGAACTAGAGGTATTTGTCACTTGGTGATGTGCATGTACTGTATATGATTGTTAACAGTTATCTTAATTCATTTATCTTCCCTGTACTAAAGTTTAATCATAGCTCAGTCCTTAAAACTGTCAGCACTGACTTAAATTTGGGTTTATACAGGAATACAATATTTGAATGAAAGTGTATTGTCAGTATTTAAATGAAAATGTCCTTATTGAACACACAATAATAAAATTAAGTGTAAAGATCTAAGATGATGGACAATTATGTGGGGATTCCTGCTTTAGCCAACCAGCTTATTTTCTAATGAACTATACCAAGACTGTTTTATGTTTTTCATACTGTTTTATGAATTCCATTAAAATAAGGGTGGCATTAACATTGAGTCTGTAATTCAAAGCCATAACTTATTTTCAGTGATGAAAGTTCTCCCAACTAGCTTTTTAACACTTAAGAACTTTGAACCCTCTTTAATGTGATTTAGACAAAACTCTGGATAATTGAAATATTAATTATTTGAAGCGTGCTTGTTGTGTGCTTATTCGCCCACTGTGTTAGTTTTTGTCTCTCATACTTTGTACACGTCTGGGATATTTTTGCTCGTACCAAAGAATTCCTGTAATTAATACTGCTCTTATTTCTCCACTTATTTTGAAATTTGGACAGAAATGGACATGTACTGTATCATGACTGGTTTTGTTTATTTGTCGTTGGATATTTTTTAACATGCACAAGACGTTTCATCTAATTGTTGACATTTAACATTTTGAGTCTTAAAACAATATTGCAGCAAAATTTTAAAAAATCTACAAGTACTTGTTTCTTACATCCTTCTGTTCACATTTCAATACATCACAGTTTCGGGAGCTTGTAATAATGCTCTTATAATGCATATAACTTAAATTGTAAGCATGTCCACGTGTAAAGATGTTACCTGAAGACTTAGAAAACTGTCCAAGAGAGATTCATTAAGCACTATTAGTATGCCAAGTATGCATACTGCTAATCAGATATTCATAAAGAAAAACATTTGACTGAAACAGCACAGATAACATACCTCTCAAATCCAGGAGGAATCAAGAATCTGTCAGCCACCTTTACAGTAGCTGTTCAACGTGTTAATAAAACTGTTGAATTACTACAGCATACATGTACTGTAAAGCCCAGAGCAGTTGTGTTATCATTGAATATTCATTCTGTCTCTTAATCCTTCAAAGACTACCTGAATGGGCTTCATATTCTTTGTTCTCTGTAAGCTGGCATCTGTCTGGAAGATGGTATTCTCTGCTGTCATACCTACTGTTTTAAATTAAATAAAATTATTATTAGTCTCTGCTTTCTGATTTATGCAGTAAATAAGACCAGCGTGGAGGGGATGGGGATGTTGATGAGCAAGTTAGGCAGGAGAACATTCCTTTCATGGAATGTTTCAAGCCTTCTTATTGTCCACTGCTGAAAAAATGCAACTGCTACAAGCACGTGGATTGTAGGATCAATATGTAGGGTGGCATTAAAGACTTTTGGAATTGGAATGCAGTGGGATTTCTCTGAGGCGCTACAGAAAGTGTTGGTAAGCAGAACTCTGGGGGAAGAAATTACAGAAAATGCTTCACTTGGTGAAAGAGGAATGAAGCTCTTCATCTGCCCTCTCAGCTTTTAATGTTAGTCCGGATGTTAAATACATTCCTGCGGATTTTCACCGCAGAACAGTAGTGACCGGACAGCTAATGCATAGTAAAATAAACGCAGAGATTCATTCTAATCCATCACTTTCACCTCTTCCTGCTAAACCAAAGCAGAATTATTATCGAGCAGCTGTCTGAAAGAGCTGCTTCATTTTTATCTTCTTTGACATGTCTCTGCACAAGTGTCCTCATCTAAGCGCTCGCTGCAGGTAGGTGGTCTTTGAGGAAGGCCTATTCAAATGTCTTTCAGGGTTGTCTATGAAGAGACTGGCAGAATGGAAGTTCGACCAGGAAGCAAAGCGAGTGGCAGTGTTTGTCTTGAGATGCAGGGAGGTACTCGGTGTGTATGTTTGGATACTGGGAGGTAGGCAGTTTTTGTGTCATGAGACTGGGAGGTAGGCAGTTTTTGCACTGAAGGACTGAGCAATAGCTAGTGGTACCCTATTAATTTGATAGGCTCTGGCTCCAGGAATCTTCTTTTGAAACAGAATTTACTGCCATTCTAGTTTCTCTTGAGAGGCCCTAGCTATGGAGGTGGAAAGAAGAGACCTCACCGAACATATACAATGAAATGATCATGTGTGGTCTCTGTTTTGTACAAGTACTTTAAAATGCTTGCCAAGAAGAGTACCCTTTTAACCCTAGCAGTGCTGCTCAGTGCCTCACACTAATTAAGGAGCAGTGCTCCACTTTGCTGGCCAATTCCCCTGCTAAACTGTGCGGCTCAGAGCTGGGACTCTTACTGTAAGACAAGGACGACTGTGGCTCTAATATGGTCAGTACTTACTGTCATTGGAGGGGTCACAGCTGGGGAAGGTTCAGATCTGTGCAACACAGAATTCTGTTAGGTATCACACATACAGTAAGTAAATGCTCCCAAAGAGAGAGGAATTGTCCAGTTTTCGTACGCATCCACACCCTTTGTGCATCAAATTGGTACTCATATATTTCTCTCTGCATCAACATTGCTTATTTTGAAATGAGCAGGTACCTGTATGACTGACCTTGATGAATATAGTCCTATGATTCACGGTAGAAGCGTGGTCTGGTACCAGAGTTTCTGCGTGAGATCTGAGAGGCTGCTGGGTGTGTGCTGGTTTTGACAAGCAAGGGAGCTTTAGTGCTGAAATGGAGTGGGGTGTCAAAGGAATTCAATGTGGGTTGTAAGATCTTGCGCAGAATAGTGATCAGGGTGGGGAAAAAGACCCTCAGTGTATGGAGAGGAGAAAGGAAAGAGCAGGTTACATTTCTGTGGTTGGTTGCTCCTCTGTGACTTCCCATCGTTCCAGCCAGGGACAGTGAGAGAAAAAGCTGTAATTCCTAAAGGGAGCCACTCGTACTTCCATCCGCTCTTGAGCGATTGTAAGCTGCCCCTTCAATGAATAATAATTTCTTCCATTTCCATAGCACTTTCCATTTCCCAAAAGATCTCTCAGCAGTTCACAAACCGAAGGAGACCCACTTCACTCATCACCAGAGTGCAGGCTCACTTGGGTAACATGCAGCAGCCCCGCTGCACAGCAGAGGAAAGCCGAATTAAGGGGGAGTTTAGGGAGGCCAGAGTAAGTTTGTAGCCAGGATACTGGGGATACCGTTACGCTTAGGAACAGTGATTTTCTTAACAGTGTAGTGGATCTTGAGCAGCCCCAAATAGTCTGAACCTTGGTTCAAAGTCTCAGCTGGAAGGACAGTTAGGGAGATGACGTTTCCTTGCTGGGAAAAGGAATGTTGGAGTGTCTGTGAACATTTACATTAATAATAAGTATGAAGTTGTTTGATTGTTTAGGATTCTGCTGTTTTTTTGTTTCCTCTGAAGAGACCTCTTTCTCTCAGCAGTGCACGCGGACCTGTGCTCTTCTTTTTTTTTTGTCAGTGGGGTAGAATGATGCAAGCCAAGTCTCACTCCTAAAACGGACTTGAAACCAACCGTGAAGACAGGCTGAGGGTTGGTTTCCTGTTTATCTGCCCTTTCCAACATTGAATATCTAATGATACATTTTTGAAGCAGCCAATTTGCTGATTCAGATATCATTCTCGCACAAAGATGCCGTAAACACCGAGCACACTGTAGACACTCTGGATTGGACACTGGGAATCAGTGAGCTAAGGGCTAAGATACTTTCTTTTAGTTCGGCCAAACGTTAAAATGAAACGTTTAACATTTTAAAATGTAAAAATGAAACCAGGGCAAATGGAGATCTGGGTATCTCCTGCGGATCCGACTCGAGGACAGGGAGCAGCGCTTGGCCAGTCTCCCTTTTTGAGCAGTATGTTAATTACACAGCTGAGTTGTAGCAATCAGCCTAGAGTGGTGCCTCACTAACCTCTCAACGAGACTCTTCACTGTCGACAGGCTGTCGGCACAGTGGAAAGGACAGATAAGGACTGCGTGGGAGCAGAGCCATCAGTTGGGAGATGGAGAAGTGGGGCTGAAGGAGAGGATGTTTATTCCTTCACAGATCGCCCCTCCCCCAAGTTCCTCCTTCCCTAACAATTAGCATTAGCATATTAGCATCTGGGGTGTGGCAGTTAGTGCTTTTCCCTTACAGCTCTTGGGTATCCCCGATTCTGATTTAGACTGGGGTG